TGATGTACGGTCCCACCGAACTCCCATTTTTTCTCTAGTATCTGACGAATGCAAAAGATCTGATCAATCGTTGATCTGTTTCGTCTGAACCCACATTGATGATCCCCGATAATTTCATTCGCATATGGAGTTAATCTTACCAAAAGAATGTTTGATCGAATGTTGTAACTCTTCGTTAAACACAAACCAAATCGCGGATATTCCAGAAATAAAACTTGTATAGCAAAGATAGCTTTTCTAAAAATACGATTGGCTGGATTTTAGCTTCGTGTAAACTGGCCTCCGCAAAAAAATTCCGAATTCGTCCTTTACGTCATATTACATGCATACAATTTTTAACGTTTCCCCATCAAGGTCGATTTTCTGAACAGCGTTCGTGAACACTCGATGTCCAAATAAAAACTTATTTTCAGAAACATTTTGTCTGTCAAACACTGCTTGAGATTTTTTAATCTTCTGACACGACATTCCATGCGCATTCCAGCAACAATTTATCATTTCCTCTTGACACCGGTGGACATCCGTAAATAAGATAAAGCACATTACATTTACGCAATAGAAAAATAAATAATCTATTTTAGACGTTTTAGCACGCGAACTCCGCCGCTCTCGATCGCCTTGGTCTCTAAAATGCTTTAGGGGAGGTAGGACGCCGCTTCTCAGACCGGAAGTAGCCTGGTTCGCCCTTCGTCTCGGCATTTCCTTGGAGCGACTGAGTAAAACCACATTCAAGCGTTTTTCGCAGCGATTATTCATTATTCAGAAGCGCGTCTTGACAGCTCGCGGTAAAAAGCTATTTCATGAAGACAAACATTATTTCGCTACACAATGACCTCCCCCACCCCCTCCACTTCCTCGTGAAAGAACACAAGCGCCGTGTCTCGGGGGGCGTGTGACCTGGACAGTTGTAACTGCTTTACGACATTAAGCGGGAAGCCTTCGACGACAAATCCGATCATCTACCGCGCCTGCGCGGAGACACGAACGCGAGCATTATTATTACAATCGCCGCGACGCGCGTGTACGACGGTCAGAAGCTGAGAGGTCAAGATGAATCCTTATTTACGGGAATTGCCTGTCAACACGAACGAAAAGACTTTTGGCTCAAACATCGCCCCTTCTTCCTTTAAAATAAATAAAAAAATTGAACCCTCTATGGGAAGTTACCTTAAAACAGCTTCGTTATTTCAAGAATTATTTAACGACGCTTTATTAACTACAGACGTAATTTACTAGAAGATGAGATCACATGCGGATTACACGCGAGGGCCAACAAAATGCATGAAAACCTTAGCTGAGGAAGCGACTCGCTGATCGCTGTCTCCCAAATACAAGTCGTGGCCTTCCGAGGCCCACGAAATCAAATAAACTCAAACTGAAGAAGTGCAGAGTGGCGGGGAGGGGGGGGAGATTCTCATGAAACTGCAGTGATTTATAGGATAACTTAGATGCAGCGCACCTGGTCCACGTTCAGGCCCACAAATTACCTTTCAATTCCCCTTTCTTCACTCTGAAAGAATCTGAAAAAAATATTGTGTGTTTCTTGTCCGCTGCTTTAGGTACAATTGCCCTAAAATCCACTGGCCACAAGCAAATTAAAAACAATACAAACGTCGACAATTTGAAACTCTGTAGTGGCAGCAACGCGGGTCCATTCAATGACGGTTTCTTTAACGCTCTCAACCGCAGCACGAAGAAAGAAGGTGGTTATTACGTACAGCGAATTCAAAAGGACGCGGCAGCTCTTACCTATTCAAGGCTCTATCTCGGTAACCGGCTCAGAAAAATTATAAAAGCCACATCACAATAACGAGCGTGGCGACTCATATTTGATGTGAGCGCACGTCAGGTGTTAAGAGCCGCTTGGTTTGAGTGAAGAATCCTTGAGAGTGCTCACAACGGCAACATCTGTACGTCGTTTTGTACCAAACAGTTCTCATACGACGTAAACTGAATTAAATAGAACAACCTAATTCACGCTCTTTCCACGCTACGACAACTCCACAAGGGGAGAGCTCATTTCATTTCATTTCCGTCTCTGCCAGTTTTGTTTAATTTCTACCATTTTCTTCTTCGCCACGCGAGAAGAACCTAAGACACGACGACTACCGGGGATCTTGTCGGAGCGAGAATCGCCTCGCACAAAACAATAACATCAGATTACATTTTTGCACCAATGACGAGCGTGGTGCGGCCCGAAGGTGGCCCTCGGAATATCGCTCGGCTACTGACCGTGGGGCAGACCCAGCCCCCTCGGGGTGAAGCGCCTGGGTGATGAAGCAGACACCTCAATTTAGGGCCAAGGTCAAGAGCGAGCGGCGCAATACGTCCGCTCCCAGACAACATCTTATTGGCACGTCACTTCGGGAGGGGTTTCCACCAAAACCTTACACAAATCTCTTGTTTCCATTAAACATTCCGCATTCTTGCCTAAAAAAAGGACAGGCAATCCTCGGGGTGGACATACTGGACGTGGAGCAGATTTCCCTGAGACGTTGAATAAGCGCATTACCAACCTTGGTCCTCAGTTGGGACATCGTCGCTGACCTGGCACTTGGACGAAGAGATCAAAGATCTCTTCAGATGAGACGAGATCTAGTCGGTAAAAAGTTTCAGATTTGATGGCACTCACCACTTCACCAGCGACTGTCTTCGGCTTCAGCGTTTGCAGATGATTTGGCAAGACGGTTGTGCCGCTTGACGCCGTTTTGATGGCACCGCCGTCAGTCTGCGTCCTCGCCTCGGTCCGTCGCATCTTCTCGAGCTCGACCTCGCGAGAGATCATCTGTTTGGACCCGTAGCCCAGGAACCGAGCGGGTTTCTGACCGGGGAACAGCGTCAGCTCCTCAATGTTGCTGCAATACGACACAAAAACTTTATTCCATGTAAAATGTGCAAGGAGACAAAAAACATATCCATGAGTTTCATGTCACAAAAATTTGGTTGATTCAACATCTGCAAAACAAGCGCACGACCTCTCATGTCCTCACACATCGTTCGACGCGATACAACCTCGGCAGATGGAACAGCATCATTAAGTAAGCGACAGGCATTACGCAATGCAAGTCACTTTAAAAAAATTCATGAATTACAAAGTGAACACTAAACACCAGAAGAACGCTAACATCGCTTTTGAAATGATCGCTCGGTGACCATCGACATGCGTCAGAAGAGCTTTTCCCGCTATTTTGCAGAGCGAAACACATTCTGATTATCGAGGGGGCAAAAATCAGAAGCAAAACTTCCCAGTGCACCCTCGTACTTCACGTGGCAAATTCTTTCAAGTTCTGTCATCATACAAAATCTCCATACGCTACACCGAGTCTCAATAAAACTCTGCTTTGTGGCGACATCTTCACGGACAGTGATCTCGTGGGTGACGTCAATACAACATGAAATGTTTCCGTCTTAGAAAAGACGACAACGAATGAAACGCGTAACGGATACAAGCTACGACATCCAAAATCATGAGAAAACTCACGGGTCCAGATTATAGACGTAGCTGCCGTCTTGTGTGCGTTCCTGGACGTAGTTGAGGCTGTAGTCGATCATGACGCTAATCACGTGATTCAGATCCTTCTTCTCATGAGCGTTGTACAGCTGCAGGCTGACCTGTAACAACGCACCAAAGGTGTAGGGAGCGTTCTGCGGACCGGCACAAGTCCACAAGAGCGGACGGCACCCGATAAGCGCATTACCAACCTTGGTCCTCAGTTGGGACATCGTCGCTGACCTGGCACTTGGACGAAGAGATCAAAGATCTCTTCAGATGAGACGAGATCTAGTCGGTAAAAAGTTTCAGATTTGATGGCACTCACCACTTCACCAGCGACTGTCTTCGGCTTCAGCGTTTGCAGATGATTTGGCAAGACGGTTCTGCCGCTTGACGCCGTTTCGATGGCACCGCCGTCACTCTGCGTCCTCGCCTCGGTCCGTCGCATCTTCTCGAGCTCGACCTCGCGAGAGATCATCTGTTTGGACCCGTAGCCCAGGAACCGAGCGGGTTTCTGACCGGGGAACAGCGTCAGCTCCTCAATGTTGCTGCAATACGACACAAAAACTTTATTCCATGTAAAATGTGCAAGGAGACAAAAAACATATCCATGAGTTTCATGTCACAAAAATTTGGTTGATTCAACATCTGCAAAACAAGCGCACGACCTCTCATGTCCTCACACATCGTTCGACGCGATACAACCTCGGCAGATGGAACAGCATCATTAAGTAAGCGACAGGCATTACGCAATGCAAGTCACTTTAAAAAAATTCATGAATTACAAAGTGAACACTAAACACCAGAAGAACGCTAACATCGCTTTTGAAATGATCGCTCGGTGACCATCGACATGCGTCAGAAGAGCTTTTCCCGCTATTTTGCAGAGCGAAACACATTCTGATTATCGAGGGGGCAAAAATCAGAAGCAAAACTTCCCAGTGCACCCTCGTACTTCACGTGGCAAATTCTTTCAAGTTCTGTCATCATACAAAATCTCCATACGCTACACCGAGTCTCAATAAAACTCTGCTTTGTGGCGACATCTTCACGGACAGTGATCTCGTGGGTGACGTCAATACAACATGAAATGTTTCCGTCTTAGAAAAGACGACAACGAATGAAACGCGTAACGGATACAAGCTACGACATCCAAAATCATGAGAAAACTCACGGGTCCAGATTATAGACGTAGCTGCCGTCTTGTGTGCGTTCCTGGACGTAGTTGAGGCTGTAGTCGATCATGACGCTAATCACGTGATTCAGATCCTTCTTCTCATGAGCGTTGTACAGCTGCAGGCTGACCTGTAACAACGCACCAAAGGTGTAGGGAGCGTTCTGCGGACCGGCACAAGTCCACAAGAGCGGACGGCACCCGATCTCACCGACGAGACAAAATTGTAATTTGGCATTCCACAATTTTCTTTTCAGACACAGAAATTATTTCTCAGGCCCCTCCGCACGCCCCCAATTTCAAGACATCTGTGCCCCTATTTCTGACCTTAGTTAGCATCCCAAGGATAACTTACTGGGCGAAGTGCAGGGACCAGTATCTGCAGCAGCAGGGGCAGAGTGTCAAACCGGAGCTGAGCAGCGCCGGAGTGCATCCTCACCAGGGGTGCCATCCCCCGCATGAGCTCCTTCAGAACCTGTCGAGCCCTCTGCTCCCTCACCGACATCTGCAAGAACACGGAGGCTGAGTTCAGTAACCAACGGAGTAACACGAATGACCCTCGACAAAAATGCAGCATACAAAGAGAAATGGTTCGTCGAACCAAGGATCATCTGGTTTTCTGGTTGGTTTTTCAGTCACTGGAAAGACTTTGGGGCATGAGTGCCACCATGCCAGTTGCTAACCTGTCCTTCGACGAATGACACGGCATTGCTCTGAACAAGAAGTTCTACTTCCATTCCAAAGCACCTTCACCAAGAAGAAGGCACTTTTTATTTCTTCCGAAACAGTGAACTACAAAGCCGCGAAATGTGCATTTCAAAATTACAAGCTGTCCAAAGAAATCGTAATTATCATTTTATTAAACGTGATCTAATTTGAGACTCGCAGGGGCCACAATAATGTTTTGGCATTATATTTCTACCGAAATAATATTATGTTCCAAAGCCTCTAACCTAACCTAACTCGGACCATAAAAACATTTCGTAGTCCTCGGTTATTAATTTCACGTCAGCTGTAAAACGCAGTGATTCTTGGCTTAGTGGACCACAAACCCGGATTCCCACTGTTACGTCTATGTTTACTGGACTCGAGGACAATAAATAAGTCGCGCAGGTTACTGAAAACATCGCCATTTCAAATCACCAGTCCGGAGCTACAACCTGAACACTGTCGCTTGCGTCTCGTGATGCATTCTCGTTTCGGCATTTTCTCGCAAATGACGTGAACTGTGCATCATCCTCAACATAACTTACCATAGGCCAATCTAATTTTAACAACCACGTTTATATTTTACAAGGTTAAGGTGCGTTTCTAAGTGAATTCAAAGTAAGTCCGCGTAACAATAAAAATGTGGACAATCTTTAAAGTAGATCGACAGAAATTTGTAGCTGAAAGACGCAAGTCATGGAAATGAACAGGGAGTCATTAAACGTTAGCCCGTCCAAGCGAACTAAAGCAATGAATCAACTGGAGATGCTTGTTGTCATCAACGCTTCGATTTATCACACACCTCGCAGATCAATTTCGTCTCCCTGACTCAACCGAGATAATTAAACCACGATTGTCTTGCGAGGTTAATTACTATCTCGTAACCAAATACCAGTTCGCATTAGCGTGCCTAATTTTTCATTTCCCACCATTCCTAAACGCTTTAATTCGTCGTCTTTTCTTCAGACACATTCCCTGAATTATGTATCTCTCCTAATTAATATTCACACGCCTCAGAGAAGAACTGCAGGCCATGAGACATAACAAGGCACAACCGACAGCGTAATTTCGCATAATAAAAATTTTTCTGGACATGAAGACAACGTCAGCTTTAGAGGAAATCCTTGTACATCCCTGAAGGCGCTTTCCTTCTCTCGTAATGTCTATTTCCTTACATGTCACTGTGTAATTTGTATCAATAAATTGTTTATGTAATTTAAATTTTAAAAAAAATCAATTTAATTACGGAACAGCCCACAGATAAAACGTGAACTGACATTCGAGGACTGTGGCGATCGTTTGGTCTTCTGGGCCGTGACGTAATTTAACCCTGAACATCGAGGCGACACGTTTCTTCGAAACACCTGCAGGACCACGAGGCATGACGGCGATCGTGATGATTTGCATTCATTACTTCCCCCCCCGATGCTCTGCTGTTTCGACGCGAGGACCGGGAGGTTCGAGCTCTCGTATCAGAACAAACAGCGTCGAGAAGTTTGCTCAAGTGTCGCAATAATTCATGAGCTTTTTTGTAATTATTGAAAAACCTTTTAAGAAATGAAAACATTTTAAAAACGAAAGACACTGGCTGGATGGTTTTATTCTAGTGGCTCCTTCGATCCATTTAGCGATGCGTCTTTGTTTCCCGCTAATGAGGGAATGAATTATGTAGTCGCTACCTCATTACTCGCGAGGCAGCAACTTTCCTTTCCTTCTTGCTTTCTTTCTTTCCAGTAATTAACTGGTACCGTTCCACGCTTCGAGACGACGAATAAAGTTTCCCCGCGCACCAGTGGGACTGAGGAACCGGTCATAAAACAACTTCCCCTGTAGCTCCATGGATATTAATTATACAACTTAGTCGTCTATTCACATAATTTCCAGCAGTACAGATTCCCACCACCCCGGCGCTATCGTCGGTTATGGCGTCCAGACGGAGCATCGCCATCCATCCGGCAAAGTCCCTCCCTGTCCGCGGTCTGTGAGCCAAAATGGAGTCTGAACAAGCGTCCCTCTGCTCAGCGACTCAACGTTGGTACGAAAAGAAACAGACCAAACGTCAGCACTGGGACTCGGTGAATTAGGCGTTCAAAATGCTGCCGTGCGTAAATGTTTCTGGGACAACCTGTGTTTACACACGCACATTAGAAACGACCTAAGTTTCCGAACAAATAAGCTTTTAAGTTTAGTATGTCTGGGGCATACTCGTTGAAATTTCAACGGAGGATCTACGAACGCGTCGCCAAACTGTGTGCTTCAAGGGGTCTCCCCCCCCCCTTTGAGCTGCAGCGTTGCTACGCTGCGAGTTCTGAGCTGTTTCCACCTCGAAGAATGACATACTATTTTTTTTAACCACGGAGAAACAGGCCCCTTCCATAAATGCCTGTAATGTGCGGGAGATGTTTCCTGCGTAAGGTTTAAGACCCCACGGCGCTCCTGTCATGGACGCCGAGCGAGGAGGCAACTTGCTTAAACCCTTGTTGTGGGGATCCAATTTGTTTGCTCTCGTGTGCGCGCTTCGCGAGGAAGGAAGAATTTAACTTGACTAATTCACTTCTCATTTCCCGGGGATTAAAAGCGGCAGAATTGTTAATTGTAACCACAGCCGACGCACGAACAATTACAACGAATTGGCTAAGTAGCTCGGGTAGGGGGAGCTGATAATTCATCCCGTAATACGCCGAGATGTTAATTCATAAATAACACTGCCTGCAACATTTTAGGCTAATTAATAAGTGAAAGAGTCAGTTTCCTGTACGACTTAATCGAGCAGGCAAACGGGCGAGGCGCAATCAGGGATCCGAAGTTGAAGAGGCGAGAGACGTGGACCGCCTTCGCACATTGGCGGCGAGGGCGGGAACTAGGTACAGTCGCCATCGGACGTCGACGTCGGACAATGACCAAAAGGAAT